CATGGAGACGAGCCGCCTCGCACCTGAGGTGGCCGTGCAGGCCGCAGAGAGGGCGTCTGGCCAGGGCCCTGCCCCTCGGGCCCTCCTGGCATCCAGCGGGGCTCCCCAAAAACCCCGGGCCGCCCGTTTCTGCGTTAGCCACTGCGCTGCTTTTTACGTACTTTTCAGAGCAGAAAATCCTCTCGTTTCAGGTGCCCAGGGCATAACAGGACTGCACCGCTCCCACGCTGCAGCGCTTGTACAACACAATCACTGCTCTCCCCAAGGCACATTTATTTATGACACACAAGATCGAAAATGAAAATACACAAACAGATAATGTGACCAGCACATTCTAAGCAGAGTTATAAAGCCATAAAGATACTCTTTAAACAAACAAGCTGACGTTTTGATTTGGTGCTGGTTAAATACTGTAACATACTGCAGCAGAAGGCAGCGTCCTCAGCTACCATAGCTGCAAATTCGACTGAATCTGCAAGGGGTCAACACTAAAAACACACCCACTGGTAAACGTTATCCCTAGTAAGAAGCAGCATACAGTCCCAAAATGTACTACTGCCCACGTAAACCAGCAAAGAGATTGGAAGTATGTTATAGCAAGTGGCTGCTCCTCTGATCCCCCACGAAGTCAGTCTTCCTTTTCGCAACGTCAAAGAGCGTTTTGAGGGAGGAGAAACAGGGCAACACAAATGTGCCTTGTGGTTTTTAAGGTGCAAGAGCGTGTCTGCTCAGACACTTAGAAATTATCTGTCCAGTCAGATATCTTGGCATTTTGTCATCAAAGCAGCTTTCTTCACATTCTGCAGGTGTGAAGATGAAGGAAAGTTCCTTGTTCACGGGGCAAGTTCCTCCTGCTTTGCCTCAATGAAGGAAATTTACAACTCATGTTAACGTCATCCTCCTTCCTTGCAAGAATTTCAGGTTGAGCAGGGACACCACACTCGCAGCATGGGGCGTCTGTAATTCAGCTTTGTTCTAACATCCAAAATTACAAGCTTTCACCATCTGCTTTAGAAGTACCTAAGAAGAGAGATTATAAGAAAAACAGAACCAATTCATTACTCAGGGTTATTATAGAAAACAAAAATAATAGAGGCAACTGCTGGCCTCAGAAACGGAGTGGGTAAAAATTAGGCTGAAGTGCTTCAGCAAAGCTAGCAAATCTGGAAACAGTTTCAGTCTTCCTGTAGCAATTTGAAAACAATAAAGATGAAATGAATAAAAAAGCAGGCTCTCAGCTGGTGAAAGGAAATTCATTCACTCCTCTTTATCCACAAAGCAGGCATGTCACTGAAAGCAGCAACAACGGCTTTCCTACTGATGATCCTCAACACGAGGGTGAGGATCTGTTCCCCAGTGAAGAGGCAGCTCTGTCTCCACTGCCCGGCTGTCAGAGTCTCTCCAAAGGCTCCTCAAGAGCCACGTGTGACTGTGGGCTCAGTTGTTTCTGCTTATAGCTACCACAGCCTGTTGGCTGTGAACAGAAGCGAAATAGCCAAGTAAAACTGTCTTAAAGTCTGCAGTAACACCAAGACATTAGTTAGGCAAAGTTTGAATGGATACCTGTGTTGTACATACCATCAAAGACCTCTAGTCTTCCAGTGGACTGGCTTCCTTTTCTTCCGTAATCTTCAGCTTCTCCTTTTCTTTACTGTTACTACAAAAAGGAAAATAAAAAAGGATCCTAAGTCAGCATCAGATATCCTAAGCAGCAGTCATGTTCTAGAGGAGCCAGCGTGAAGGGCAAGAGCAAAATGCAGACTCCAAAGCTCATTCATCCTGGGGCTGTGTTCTGACTGCAAGCAAGCAGCCAATTATCGCTAATTGTGCAGGTAGTTGTGCATTGTAAATGCTCAGTGTAGGGTCCAAGCCAATGATTCAGCATAGCTCTGAAGATACCTTTGACAAGCTGTCCCAGAAGCCTTTCCCTCTCTCCTCTGTACTTACAGCTCCTCATCTGCCCCCTCGATCCTCTTCTCCTGAGCTTTCTTCCGACGGTGCCGACAGAGGATCACAACAGTCACCACAGTGATCATCAGAACACAGGCAGAGCCAATGGCCACCAGCAGGAAGTGGATTTCTGAGAAATGCACTGCATGGAGAGAAACAGATTAACACACAGCACGCACAGCAAGCTCTTGCTATGAGGCTGGGAACCTCTATCCACGAATATAACTTTTCCTTGGGCTCCTTTTTGCCTTGTATCCATCAACCAACCTCGTGTATTCTCTTTATAACCTCGTTCTTCCCAAATGGGGAGGAAGACCTGCCGATGCACTGGTAAACCCTGTCAGCTCTGGGGGTGTTCTTGGCCTCTCACCTTTCTGCACAACGCGGAGCCGCACTTCACCGATAGTGCCATCCACGTCTGGCGGGTTCTTCACCTGGCAGGTGAACGTCCCGTTGTCCGTGGGCTGCAGGTTCCAGATAACGATGGAAACGTCGTGACGCTCAATGTTGCCATCCCAGGTGACTCGGTCTCTGAACCGCCCAGCAGTCAGCTTGTAGGGCTCCTTCAGGTAGTAAAACACCTACAAGGATGGGAGGAAGCTGTCATTCCTACACGCTGTGCAGTCTACGTGACGACGGCAGCAGCATGTGAAAGTGGAGTGGCACCAAGATGAGGAGACTCGGGTTGGCCCGGTTGCTCTCAGATAAACTCTTAGTGCCTCACGCGTTTCAGCTGTGCTTGCCCATACCCACACCTGGATTTTGGCAGTCACTGGGCTATACACAGCGCTGGACCTCAGGACTGGTTTGTTTTGGGTCAGTCTGCATCCATGAAATGCAGTCTAAGTGTCTCACTCACCGGTTCATGAGAGCTCAGGTCCTCGGGCTGGAAGTTCCAGGTCACCGACAGGTGCTGGCTGATAGGGCTGGTGCTGGAAAAGGTGCATTTCAACCGCAGGTTGGTGCCGTTCACAGCGTTCACCTCCTTGGAAGTGTGAACCTCCATGGCTGCCACAGGCCACAGCGCTGCGGGGAGAGCAGCAGGCGTTAGAGGTACCGAAAATCACCGCCAGGGAGCTCAGCACTTGTCCTTATCTGCATCCAGGAGCCTGCCTTATCTGCGTCTACCAGTGCTTAACCTGACACACAGATGTAATTACTGCGGAGGGTGATTCTGCGAGTGCAGGATCCGAGAGAGTCCCTGGCTTCGTGGGTTTTGTCAGTTGATATGCAAATACTTACAGATCTGATAACCGGGAGGGAGAGGGCCTTGCCCATAGGGACAACAGGCTTTGCTCTGGGGGAAATGTCTCTTCAGGAATGAGCACACTTGACATCTAAGGAGGTGCAAAGCTGCTGTAAACACCACCCCTCCTTAAATACACACTTGCTCCTGACTGACACTAAAGATGCCATAAAACTTTTTATTGCTTGTCCTGGTCACATTTTCACAAGGGATTACGCTCCACTGCACTCACTTCCCAGGCAGATTTCTTCAGAAAAGCCGTGCTGCCTTTCCAAGTAGGACTGTTGAGCCCCAAGAAATTTCTGCTGCCCACGCACCATGGT